TGGGTTTCTAGGGTGGTACTGACATTTGTAGGACACTGTGCTGACTGAGCCGCTGTTCTAGTCCATGTCAGTGGACTACCTTGTTTAACTAGAGACTGATGCTTTAAAACAGAAAGTTCATCTTAAAGATTGCATTAGATCTCTTGGTGGAGGGAACCTGTTTGATCTCCTCATCCCATATTTTCTCACTTAATTGAAGATTATGACTTAACCACTTGACAGTATCTCCAAGTACTGACAAAACTGGCAACTTCAATTTAAAAAGGAATTATTCAGCAATTTTTATCAATTTGTATGCAAAATGCAGCATTTAAACAAAGTAGCCTAGCTTACCAAGTATTAATGCTTTCTTTCCTTTTCCATGCTGAAGATGTATGGGGAGAGAGCAACCAGACAAATGTGTGCTTCCCTAAGTATATGGTGTAAGGTTGACCTTAAATGAGGACTTTTGTGTATTGTCCAAGAAAGCATGAGGAATGCTTTCAGCAAAGGGGTTAAAAAGTGACTGTGCCATGTTTAGTCCCCTGTCTCCTAATCTGTTTGCTTGCCTGCCACAGGGAAGCATCACCCAGCAAGCGAGATGCAGCGTGTGATTGAGTCTGAGAAGGTAGCAGAAATCCCAGTCGTACATGAGTATGGCCATGACCATTCCAGGTTGCATGCCTACATTGGTGTGTCCCTTGTCCTTGGCTTTGTCTTCATGCTGTTGGTGGACCAGATAGGCAGCTCTCATGTGCACTCTACGGATGGTAAGTAAAGATTCACTTCAATTAAGACTAATTAGCAAGTTGCAATTTTTTTGAATGCTACTGGGATTTAATTTGACCAGTCACGTCCAGAGTTTCAGTAGGTGCTTTACAAACATAAAGCAAGCTCTGTCTGAAATGTTTGTGCTGGAAACCTGTCCTGGAATTCAGCATAATTTGAGAGCTTGCTTCACTAATATGAAGTAGCTGTATGAGCATATATGGTGTGGGAGTGGAGGGTGGCTTGACGCTTGCCTGTTTTACAGTATCATCCATAGGGGACTTATTTGGCTTTCCAAAAAACTTCAGGTTAGTTGTATCTTAGGTCGCTTTTCCTACTTAATTGTCATACATGTAGGTAAAATTTGCAAAGAACAAAAAGTTATCTTAAGTAAGACTGCACAAATGACTAGATGTAAGCTCTGGTCCTTTACTGTAACTGCACAGCTGGACTTCAACACTAATCTAGAGCCTCACTTACTTCAAAATACATCCTGTTTAGTCCATAGATTTCTCAACTTCATCGCAAGACTATCAAAATGCCTGCAATTGCTTTGTTTTCTGCCTGTGTCTTTATGCTCAAACTGTAGCTTGAAATGCACCAAAGTTGTTCTGTTATCTGAAAAAGTATTTTATTGCCTTTCGTTGCTCATTTTCTCCCACATGATCTCTGATGGTGGTATTTGGCCCTCAAAAAATTAAGGAATTGATCTTGAAGGAAAAGTAAAACACACACACAGTGGAGAGGGGATATGTTTTGTTTGGATCCTTGGCAGTTCCCAGTGCAGCTGCACAAACGCTTGTATGGGATTAGTGTGGTGGGATAGATGGGAGGCCAGTGCAGGGGCCTGTGCTCCGGGAGAAGTGTAAATGGAGCCACAGCCATGCCTAGCTGATTTTCAGAGCTTCTCAAAAGAAACAGTGGCAGTGAGGATGACATGGGGATGCAAGTGAGCAACTGCCAGGAGAATCCTTGGTTTGTACAGGTTATGACCCTTTCCTATGTCTCTGATCAGAGCAAATACCAGGAGAAAAGTGACTGTGATCTGTGGGAGGGATGCACACTATAAAATAGGATATTAAGTAAAGTTTTATCTAGTCTGTAACTCTGTCACAGGAAATGTAGTAGTGGTTTTGTAATGTTTTTTAAAACTGACAAACAAAGGTATGAAATCAAATGTGAACTCTCTTTGAATGTGTTTAGTTCTCATAAATCAAAAAAAATTTAAAGGACATGTTCTTTGTGAATATCTCCTTCTATTTGACATGAGTATACCATGGCAGTCATCCAAATGCAGCTTATGCAATTAATTGCTCAAATAGACTCCCCTTGAGTCAGAAGATCAATCTGACTGAAGAGAATACATTAGTTTTTAGCCAGCTCACTTCACTGATCTGACTTACTGGGCAACTACGTGGGGTGCCTGGGCATAAGAGAGAGACTGGACTTGCTGTTCTGGCAGCACTGCAGGCTTATTAAAGTAGTTGTGTAAGTGTGCTTGCAGTCAGCTTGCTGTCCACTAGTATAATTAAATAACAGCTGTTCACCTGTTTGGACTTAAACAGTTGAATAATATGTTTCTGTGCTGGTGTAGGACTTACCTCCCCTATTCATTGCAGTGATTCTTCATAACAGTTTTGCCACCAGTTGCATGGTGGTGGATATTGCCCTGTTGTGCTGTATGATGAGCTAACCTGCAAATGCCCTCAGAACAGTTGTCAAACAATTGCAGTCAAAGCACTGGATCTCAAGTGGAACTGACTGCATTTCTCCTCTGTAGCATATAATGTTGGAAGGAAATCTTTGCCACTGCTGCCCTGATAAATATAATTTATTGCTTACTAGGAATTGCCAGAGAATCAGTGCAACAGAGACTGCCCACACTGTCACCCGAAGGAAAATACCAACATTGGGCTAAGTGGGGAAATATCATCCTGACTCTTGGAGCAGCTCTGGATTCCAAGGATGCAAAACTAACTTTTCTTTGCCTTGGTAGTGCAGAACTTTAACATTTGGTTTCAGGAGGTTAAGAAAAACAGCTGCTTCTGCTTGTATCAGTGATGCTGTCAATTGCAAAGAATTGTCTAGGATTTCGTCACTTATTTGTCAGCAAAACTACAGGTGATTTGAAGGTATTAGGTATCAGACTATTTTACAGTAAATCTAACGCAGAAATACAAAAGCTGATAGTTTTGAATATAACTGCCTAGGCAGCTGGTAGAGACATGTGCAGTGATACAATTTTTCTTCCAGCATAATTTATGTATTTGTTCTCTTTATCCTAACTTTCCTCATGACCATTTCAGATCCAGAAGCTGCAAGATCAGGCAACTCCAAAATCACCACAACGCTGGGGCTAGTAGTCCATGCAGCAGGTAATGTGGGACCTATTGTTAGCACTTGACAAGGACTCTCGCTGGGTGACTCATCTTTAGATGTGATAGAAACACTTGGGTTTGGTTTTGAAGGTGGCTTTTTTTTTTTTTTTTTTTTTTAAAAAAAGGCAGCAGGGTGGGGAGGAGAACTAAGGGTCTTCCCTGAAACTTGCTGGGAAAACATATCTCCAGTGCTCAGAATCTTCCATGGAGTTTTTCACTCCTTTTATTTTTGCCATCTGAAAAGTGGCCTTTTTAATTTTTGTGCCTCTTTAATTTTTTTTTTTTCCTGGCTGCTTTAGCTGCTAAATTTCAATATACACTTATCACATTTGATAAGTACTATGAAGCACCTCAGGAATTGCTTGTCAGTTGACCTGTGTTTTTTTTTAAAAAAAATATTCAGTTTAAAAAAATATCTTGTGGAAAAAAGGTATTATTGGATGGAGTGCAGAGACTTGACTGAAATACATTTGGGCTGACTTGTGAGGACTGAGAAAGTGTTGCAGTCAACCCATATTAATGTTGTATTTTTTCACTATATATATTTGTAGTATAAATATGATGTTTTTTAATCTCTCCTTTCTGAAAGTTATTATCCAGATAAGTCATACCATGTTGATCAAAAAGATATTTCTTCACTAAACAAGTGTCTATATATTAAGGGTTAACATAGTATCCATTTCCTGTTTCATTTAGACAATATATTTGTTAAATGGTAAAAAAATAGTATTTACTATAGTATTTATATTGTCAAATTCCTTTAAAGGGTAAAAATTAAAATTCTTTTAATGCTTAGATATGTTTTATGGTCTTGGGAAATGAGACGGCTCCTGTTGAGGGTTGTCTGAATTGTTGTGGCTTAAGGAACAAAGGGGAGGCTTGGTATTGTTATAGTGGCATTTTGAGTAACTTGACTTCTCAAATGAGCATGTTTTGTACTGTCAGCCATTGAGGGAGTAGGAAAGCTGAAACTGATGTGGAGGAATAATCCATGAATTTGCATTCCTGTTTCAGCTGATGGTGTTGCATTGGGTGCAGCAGCTTCGACTTCTCAAACTAGTGTCCAGTTGATAGTGTTTGTTGCAATTATGTTGCACAAGGTAAGTCATCCAAAAAATCTTACTTGTTGTTTAAAAGACTGTTAAAGGGTACAGAAATTACTAAAGATCTTAAGGTTCCTTAGTGATGTAATCTGGAAATGTATAATGCCATTCAGATGAACAGATTAAGGACCAAAAAGCACTGGTATGATGTGTGCTAGAAGAGCAAATGATGGATGCTGAGTCTGAATGGGGTTACAAATGAGAGAGAATTCTAACTGCCTACTACCTACCTTGGTTGCAGTGGTTGGGAAAAGTCTCCCAAAGCAGAGAGAGAAGGCTAGCTCATGAAGAAATGTGACAGCTTCAAACTGGCTTTATTTTTTTTTTTTTTTTTTTTTTTAAAGCTAGTGTGGTGTTGTGGGGTTTTTTTTGTTTTAAAAACAAACAAAACCCCTCAAAATTCTTGCTGCTGTAAGAGATGTATTCAGAGAAGTTGTAGAGGGTGAAGCACAGAAGTATCTGCTAGTATATTCAAGGAGGAAAAGCAGTTTTCGGATCATTACAACTGCTTTTTGGTTCTCTGATGGTCTTAAGAAAATTGAAAGGGTATTTGTTATCAAGGGTTTTAGTGCTTAAAGGGTTAGTTTTTTGAAACCGCTTAATATCAGAGTGCTAAATTGCAACTTTTGGTTACCTCTGTTATTGTAGTAGCTTCAACATCAGTCATGGTACTTCTGCAGGAAAAAATTGTAAATGTTTTTCTTATGGTAACAAGCAAACAATGGCTATTGAAGATGGGAAGATCTTTTTTCCTTAATGTTTGTGCAAAGCTATCTATTAGCTATATAAGTTCTAAACATACGTGTGCAGATGCATATTTGACTTAAGGGTAGCACATACATGTATTACAGTAATTAGTCATACCTTCACCCAAAATCTTGCTTGCATAATTGCATGTTCAGAATGTTAAGAAATCCAGATCTAGTATGTCTTTTCTTCACTGTTCATACAATAAATTGTGGTTTACATAACCCTCTTCAAAGGTTGCAATGTCAATGTTGCATCTTGCTGTGAAGCTTAGTTTGTGGCTGTTGCCCAGTGAAACTTGCTTTTTATTATTCTTAATATTCAAATTAACTGACTTCTGAAATTGTACAATTTTAGAAGAGGAAAATTTCTCCTATGAAATATTATCAATAAATATTTGGTATTGAAAGATAAATTTATTTATTCCCTGGTGTCTTTTTTTTTAATTTTTCTAGTCTTCTGATCCTGATTGCTTTTGTCCCTATCTTTTTTTTTCCTTCACTAATGGTTTCCTTCTAGGTTTAAAAAAAAAAAAAAAAAAGATTCTGTATATAAAAATTGCTCAGTATATTTTAGTTTTATCTCAAAAATGTCAAAGTGGACTGCTGTTGTCTTTAAGCAAGCAAAAATATAGTAAATTTCATGAATAGTAGGACAGTTATGCCTTGTCAATATGAAACTGGATGCCAGCAGAAGGAAGTATTTGTTTGGTTCCCTGTGGGACCAGAAATGAAAGTGAATGATGAATTAATGAAAAGAGCTCTTAAGTCTTTGTTCACGAGGAGGCTGACAGTTATCTTTCTTTGGGAATTTTTTCCCTCTCCATGTTAATTGTAGAATTTTTCTACTGTAGATAAAGAAACTGTCCATCTAAGTATCAGGATGAAAAAAGAAATTACATAAGTTAATGGAGACTTAGGGATTATAGCAATGACTCAGGTCAGAATTAACATTTTAATACTTATAATGATTACACAAATAGGTGTACTTGATAGCCAGAACATGGATTTCTGCTAGGTACTGTTATTAAGGTAGGGTAATTTGCAGAATTCTATTGATTTTGGTTAACTGCAATACACTAGTGCTCTCCCTGATTTTCTTCCAGTTTGGTGCATTTCAGTGTAGTAAGTCATATTTCAACTTTATCTCAGATTTCAGGGGATTTTAGAAAGTATTGTATTACCAATGAATAATGTTTTTTTGCAGGCACCAGCTGCCTTTGGCCTGGTTTCTTTCCTGATGCACGCTGGGCTGGAACGGAATCGAATTAGAAAACACTTGCTGGTCTTTGCATTGGCAGCACCTGTTATGTCCATGGTGACATACTTAGGGCTAAGCAAGGTAAGTCTGTGATTTTTGGTCTGCCCAAAATGTAGCTTAGTGGTGGAGCTTGGGGAAAGAAATATGAGTTTCATAGACATAACTCCAAACTGCTTGAAAAATTTAGCAGAATGGAGATTAAAAAAAAGTGGATAAAAATGTACTAATATGAATGTGTGAAACAAAAACTAACCCATGCTTTCTGTGAGAACCAGTGATGTAACTCCTCTGTAGAGTTTTGTATAGCATTTTTTAGAAGGCTGATTTCTGCCTTTTCTCCTTTCTGCTGCACCCTGCTGAGAATTTAGCAATTTATTCATATACCAGATTTTATCTGATGGCTGTATTTATCTGATGGCTGTATAACTGAGTGATTTTCAGTGTTGCTGTGTGCATTCTTATTTTAATACACAAGTAGAAAATAATGTTTGCTAGTTTCCCCTGCCATCCCAGAATTGGTTCTGTACATTCAAAGTCTTTTTCATGCTGTGTAAGAAGTTAAATCTTCAACTAGAACAGCCTTTTTGCCTTTCAAGCTCCTTAAGGCATAGTTTTGTCTTGGCTCTGTACAACAAACAGCCTGTGAAATGGGCCACTGCTCAAGTTTATAATCTCTTTCCAAATTAAATATTTCTGCTTCTCATAGCATTTCCTGTGATACTCCTGTATTTCTAACTGTTGTGGGCCATGCTGGAGAGACACTAAGGTGTTGTATTGTAAAGAATCTTAACATGTGATCTCATGAAACTCAAGGCATGAGAGGAAAGATTAAATAAATCATCTGGGCTAATCCCATTACTTACCAGAAAGGAGTTGTATTTGATATGGCAGTACAGGAGACAGCACCAAGGGCTGGGTTTGTAAATAGAGATGAGAATGCTGTTTGGGCATTCCTTTGATGTAGGCTCACTAAGAGTTGGTTTTGCATTTTGTACTTCAGAAAGAACAAAGAATTGATAAGGTGTAAGAGCTGTCACAGTGGTTGTATAGTTCCAGAGCAGAAGTATCTCCGCTCTTTGGAAAAATAACCTGAGAGTATAAGCGGTGGGTTGACCCTGACTGGGTGCCAGATGCCCACTAAAACCCACTCTTATCACTCTTCCCCCTCAACTGGACAGGGGGGAGAAAAATA